GGCGACTTCATTTCAACTGAAACCACCAGACTGGGCGACTTCATTTCAACTGGTCCACACAGGCGACTTCATTTCAACTGAAACCACCATTCCGACTGGAATCCACACAAGCGACTTCATTTCAACTGAAACCACCATTCCAACTGGAATCCACACAGGCGACTTCATTTCAACTGAAACCACCATTCCGACTGGAATCCACACAGGCGACTTCATTTTCAACTGAAACCACCATTCCAACTGGAATCCACACAGGCGACTTCATTTCAACTGAAACCACCAACTGGAATCCACACAGGCGACTTCATTTCAACTGAAACCACCATTCCGACTGGAATCCACACAGGCGACTTCATTTCAACTGAAACCACCATTCCGACTGGAATCCACACAGGCGACTTCATTTCAACTGAAACCACCATTCCGACTGGAATCCACACAAGCGACTTCATTTCAACTGAAACCACCATTCCAACTGGAATCCACACAGGCGACTTCATTTCAACTGAAACCACCATTCCAACTGGAATCCACACAGGCGACTTCATTTCAACTGAAACCACCATTCCAACTGGAATCCACACAAGCGACTTCATTTCAACTGAAACCACCATTCCGACTGGAATCCACACAGCGACTTCATTTCAACTGAAACCACCATTCCAACTGGAATCCACACAAGCGACTTCATTTCAACTGAAACCACCATTCCAACTGGAATCCACACAGGCGACTTCATTTCAACTGAAACCACCATTCCGACTGGAATCCACACAGGCGACTTCATTTCAACTGAAACCACCAACTGAATCCACACAGCGACTTCATTTCAACTCATTCCGACTGGAATGACTTCATTTCACTGATGGAATCCACACAAGCGACTTCATTTCAACTGAAACCACCATTCCAACTGGAATCCACACAGGCGACTTCATTTCAACTGAAACCACCATTCCAACTGGAACTAGCATTCCCACCTCGCCCTCCCCAACGGAGCACAGCGCCGGCCCCTCAACGACCCCTGCCCCGGCAACTGAAATCAACCCCCAGACAGCGACCACTGAAGTCGTGCCCGCTGAGACCACGACGCTTCCGGATTGCGGGGACAACAGCGGCAAGGACGGCCATGGTGCTAACCTGCAGACGACGCCACCCGAGACGACTACCGAACCGCCAACGACCGCTAGACCTACAACCACCAGACCTAATACGTCCTCCAGACCTCCAACAACCACTACAACACCTACGACCACTAGACCTCCTACAACCACCCCAACTACCACTACGACCCTGCCTCCGACTACCACCGCCCTCTCGTGCCCTGACGGATGGGCCATGTACGACAGGTCGTGCTACCACCTGAGCAGCGAGAGGGGCACGTGGCCGGAGGGGAAGTCCTACTGCGAGAACAGCGGCGGATCCTTGGTCAAGATCACGTCGGAAGAGGAGTGGAGCTTCGTCAAGGGTGAGGATCATGGCACCGCTGCCCTTTGTCCTTCTTTGCCACTTCTTGTTGTCTTTATCATATCAAAGTCGTTTTGTCACTATCGTTATTTCCAATTGCTCGTGGCGGTAGTGGTAGTTATGGCAGTTGCATTACTATTATTAGTATTGCTTTTGATAGTATTATTATCATCATTAGGACCTTCATCATCATTTTAGAATTATTTTCATAGTTCTGCCATTATTATTATCAACAACATATAATTATCAACAAGCAAAATGACTCTCGCCATCCATGTGCTGTGAATGCTCTATCTTCGTAAAAAAAGAAAGAAAAAAAGATACATACTTTACATTGCAAAGCGCATTTCGATGTTGCATTCCCGGCATTATGTATCCCAGCCAGAAGAATATAATGCTACCGAAGCATGGTCGAAAAGCGTCAATCATATCCTTTCCACTGAAATGATTCCTCCTCATATAAACATCTTCCAACCCCCCCCCCTCCTCCCGCAGGCCTGACCACGGAGGACACCTGGATTGGCCTCAACGACAGGAACAAGGAGGGGGTCTTCGTGTGGGTCTCAGACAACACCAGCCCGGTCTTCACCAAGTAAGTCCTGACAGCACGGATGCCCACTTACACCTACTGTAAGTGCTGACATTACAGATAACCATTTACACCCGTTCAAAGAGCTGGCACTAAAGATGCCCACATACACCCGTTCTAAGTGTAAGATTATCATGATTATTTGTTGTTATCATTGATTATCATCATTATCATCATTAGGCCCATTACAATTATTATCATCTTAACTATCATTATTATTACCATTATTATTATTACCATTACTATTATCTTCATTATTATTATCATACAAACTTTCGTCATTATTACCAGCATTGTTGTCACAATCATAACTATTATACACCATATCCATTATTATCAATTATTATCATTCCTATCATTACTATCTTTTATTATTGTTGTCATCATTATCATTAAAATCAATGTTGCCATTACTATCATTATTATCAATATTATCATTATCATTACTATTCCTATCATTATCATCATATTTTCATTATCTTTCTTATCATGATCATGCATGATAGTAATAGATTTTAAATCTCAGTAATGGATAAACTGGAAACTCACCTGTGGCCTTTGAGGTCTGATTCGCTTTTTTATTCTAGTCACTCTTGATACTGTGTCTGCATATTGTGTGTTTGGACGCTTAAAAGATATGCAAAATATCTTCATTACTCTTTTACTGAAATCTGCTGCCTTCAACGCCCGAGAGCCCGCGGTGAGTTGCCAGTTTGTCCCTTCCTAGAACGAGGCTAATGGTATGTTTAATTTCCATTCTCCTTTCCCCCACCCCCACCACCCGCAGGTACTCCAGCGGGGAGCCCAACAACCACAAGCCCTTCCTGTGGAGCGGCGGCGAGGACTGCGTCGAGCTGAGGGAGAGCAAGGACTTCCTCTGGAACGATGACGATTGCGATAAGGACAAGCTGTGAGTGCGATTTGGCTGCTCGTTGAAATTCCCGTTGGAAATAAAATGACCAGTCAGCGTTCGCGATGGATTTATAGCACTGTGTGTGTGTATGTGCGTTTGTGTGTGTGTGTGTGCACACTTATATTGCATATATATAATATATATATATATATAATATATATAATATATATATATATATATATATATATAATATGTGTGTGTCTATATGTATAGGAACACACATATATCTAAAAAATGTAAATTCATAATACGAACGTTGACGCACACTGTATGTATGGATGTATGTGAGTGTTGTGTGCGTGTTGTGTTCCATCTGAGAGGAGCATTAGTCGATGTCATCCAAAAGTACTTTCTCTTTTTAAGTTCGCCATTCGCTTCAATATCTAATTGTTCTTGTATCCCTTACCCGCATCTATCTTCCAGGTATGCCTGCGAGCGAAGCCCATTCGTCAGCAGGGGTTAAGGCAGCAGAGATTCACTGCAAAAAGAGAGGAACTTTTGACAACAACTTTTGAGATTAGTAATATATATATATACATAAATATATATATATATAATATATATATATATATATTTATATATATATATATATGTGTGTGTGTGTGTGTGTGTGTGTGTGTATGTATACATACACACATACACACACACACATATATAATATATATATATATATATATATATATATATATATATATATGTATGTATATATATGTATATATATATATATACACATATATTTACTTCTATAACCATGTTCATATTTCCTTATCTAACTATCTACCTATCTGAAACGTGTTCATTGCGACAAATGCAGAAAATATATGAATGAGAATGAATATCTTCACAGGGCAAATGACGTCTTTGAACTCGGTCAATTATGTCTGCATTTCTCAGGATGTAATCGAAACCGGTCAAATGCATTTCTTGCGTCGTGAAGATATTCATTTTCATTCATACCATTACTGCACATCTGTCTATTAATCCATCTATCTTTCTATCTATGTATCCATATGGAAGTATACATATATATATACATATGTATGTGTGTGTGTATATGTGTATATATATATATATATATATATAATATATAATATATATATATTATATATATATATATACTTTTTAATGGAACTGTTAAGAGAAGTGAAACGCCCATCAGAGGTTCCTCGCCGTCCGTCTGAGAGCAGGATGCTTCCGATCCGCCTTCGCCTGAAGCAAGTGTCAGCACGAGCATCTTGTCGTTAAAGAGGACGCATATATTCTTGATTTCACGGGATCTGAAAAATAAAACAAAAATTTAAAAGTTGTTTCTCTATCAAACCAAAATGATTAACTCACGAATGAGAGTTAAAACAGTCTTGCACGTTGAGCATATTTCCAGTATATTCATTTTTACTTCCATGCAAATTTCCGACTAAAGAGCAAAAAATACGCGATATTTATGGCGAGTAGAAAATAAAGAAAATGTAAATGCGTTTGAAAAATATCCAAGACTTCACAAGCTTAGAATACATAAAAACATAATCTATTATCAACAAAAAGTTATGCAGACATGCATCTATTGCAAACCCTACAGCAGAGGGTTACTTCTTTAAACCAATAAATAAATAAAAATACTAATGATAAAATGATATTAAAGGGAAGAGGAAAGAAAGAAAATGAGCGATGACTGAGATAAAAGGAAAAAGAAAAAAAGTGAATGAAAAGAGGGCTTTTTGCTTTGCGTGTGAGCTGTGTGTAAGTCCTTGCATATGAGATGACCTTAGACCAGGCTTTTAAGAAATGTTTAACGCCAAACACGCAGGGAGCGGTTGTACACGGTCTGCCATGAAGTGAGATCTTGCTACTCCATGGCATAGTTGATAAGTCCACATAATTACCTCATGGAACCAGGAAATCAACAACATCGTTAGAGCTACTAATTACACTCAAGATGCTCGTGAAAAGGGACAATGATATTGGTGACCGTGAAGCAGGACCATGACAAGCGACCATGAGACTAAAGACTGTATAAAGATAGATAGCCATAAA